ATGCCCTTGGAGACACTGCCCAACCCAACAATTGGCACATCACCTCCCCCCCACTTCCTCAAAAGCCTTGATGAAATTCCTACTGCTAGTGGCTAAGCTCAAAGCTCATGCTAGGTAAGCTCTAGTGATTTAGACAGACACAATTCCTGCTCTCTGAGAATGTACAATCTCAGAGAGAATTGCTTTGAAAAGCAATTCATTTGGGCCTGGGCGACATACCATAGTAATCACAAACTAGCAAACATGTCACGGCACTGCCAACATATTTATACTGAAAGTAGAGTATACAACATGAATTCACAAAGTGAATATCAACAGCCCCAGTTATCTTCAATGCCAACACTAGAAATCAGGAGCTCCTACCTTAGCCCCTGGGATTATTAAATCTGACTCTGTCATTCAAAAACAATGTTATCACACATTATCTTATACTTTCTCATGGCTTTAAAAAGAAAATCTTACTCTCTAGAGCCTGAAATTACAAACACCAGAGCTTATAACACTATTCTGAACAGTTAGGCAACTTAAAATGAAACATTTACTTTGTCATATGAATCCAAATATTTCCCTGTCTCTCAGAGAAATGTCACAAGAAGGTGACTCTTTCCTGGCTTAGTCTAATAGTTGAAGTAATGACAGTGCACAAGAAATAATATCTCTTCCAACACCCTCAGGGCAAAATTATCCTTGTCACTCTACCCTGAAGATCTCTTTCACAGAGAGTTTCAGTTATCACCCTTCAGCATAGTGTTTACAAACACTCAACAACTTATTATTCGGTAGATGAGAGGAAATGGGAAGACTACCAAAAAAAAGTAACTTAACTAAGACACTAAGTAATGTGAGAAGACTAATTAGGAGCATGACTTGCCCATAATTTTCCCTAAGAATTTCCACCTGAGACTTCTTTCTCCTAGGTTTCAAAAATAAATGTGCTATATATAATAAATAGACTTCAGAGTTGTTGTTTTTTATCTAAAATGAACACCTGAGAATATAATAGTGGCCTTAATGTAATCAGCAAAAACCAGAGGACACACCCAGTGGCCTCTCTTCTAGAGAGCAGCATGATGTATAATTGGTTGTAGATAGTTTCCGTTGAACTAGTTGCCTGGTTTTTGAAATGGGTCCTCAAAAGCGTAAGTTTCCATTACCTGCCAATGGCCGTCTCAGGCACCTCCCCAACTCTTCCAGCAACACCTCTTCTCCTCTGCCTTCTCATCTGCTCCTGCAAGACCGTAAGCTCTTGGTGGGCAAGGGCATCACTATTTCACACTGTTGTATCCCCACTTCTTGGCGTAGAGTATCTGGTATATTATGGGTGAATCATACAGTTTTCAGATATCAGTGAATGAAGGAATGATTGGATGGATGGATGGATGGATGGATGGATGGATGGATGGATGGATGGAGCACATGGGTGAGAAACTATTACATAGTGATTCAGGGTAAATCTTTTGAACTCATGAAGATTGGTGTATCACTCTACTCATTAGCTGGGTTTTCATAACCTTTCTGAACTTGTTTCTTTATTTGTAAAATTGGATAATTAAATTTTTCTTATAGATTGTTATAAAGTTGAAATGCAATAATTTATATAAAATTAACTTCACATATAAAGATAATAATAATTATTCAATAAATAAAGGATATGTATATTAATACCTTGTACACAAAACCAGCCTGTAATCAGATAGGCAATTCTGCCCAATCAAATATGAAAAAGAAAAATCACAAAGGACTTTCAGATCTGGTTGTCAAGTCAACTGAGAAGGAAAAAAAGCTATAAAGGATGGACTTTTCTGCCTTAAAAAAATAACAAATCTTTGGAGCTGGCCAGCATATTAAGCTTGAAATTGCACTGCTAACGGGCATGTCTTTACTATATCTGTGCTTCCTTGAAGGGGGAAAAAGATAGCAAGAGAAAGAAGAAGCTGTTGCATTGTGGAAGCAGAAAAGACTACTAGACTAAGCCAGGAAAGAGTCACCTTCTTGTGACATTTATCTGAGAGACAGGAAAATATTTGGATTCATATGACAAAGTAAATGTTTCATTTTAAGTTGCCTAACTGTTCAGAATAGTGTTATAAACTCTGGTGTCTGTAATTTCAGGCTCTAGAGAGTAAGATTTTCTTTTTAAAGCCATGGGAAAGTAAAAGATAATGTGTGATATGTGACATTGTTTTTGAATGACAGAGTCAGATTTAATAATCCCAGGGGCTAAGGTAGGAGTTCCTGATTTCTAGTGTTGGCATTGAAGATAACCGAGGCTGATGATATTCACTTTGTGAATGCATGTTGTATACTCTACTTTCAGTATAAATATGTTGGCAGTGCCGTGACATGTTTGCTAGTTTGTGATTACTATGGTATGTCGCCCAGGCCCAAATGAATTGCTTTTCAAAGCAATTCTCTCTTAGATTGTACATTCTCAGAGAGCAGGAATTGTCTGTCTAAATCACTAGAGCTTACCTAGCATGAGCTTTGAGCTTAGCCACTAGCAGTAGGAATTTCATCAAGGCTTTCGAGGAAGGGGTGTGATGTGCCAATTGTTGGGTTGAGCAATGTCTCCAAGGGCATCTGGCTTTCTTCTTTCCCCTTTTATCCCAATGAAAAGCAACTTCTGTGAACTTTAGCCTGTTCAATATCTGGTAAAGAAGACATGAGGTGGAACATGGAATTGTATGTTCTGACTCGTTGAGGGAGTTATAGAAGAGTGGCCACAACCATCCAATCTTCTTGGTCTAGTAGGTAGAGGAGTAGGAGTCTCCCAGCAAGAGCACAAGGAAAGAAAATAGCTTCATTATCAATGCTTCATTAACTCTGACATTTACTAGTTAAATTATTATGCTAGTAAATTAGATTCTATTTTATTTTTCCTTCTCAAAACACAGGAACTTATTGCTTATTTCTTTTACTAAAACTTGCAGAAGATACTTTATTCTGCTACTATTTAAATTTGTAAGTACATTTTGGACAGTATATACGTGAATTTTAAAATATATGTGGAGAGAGCCTATTTATTATAAGACATGCAGAGTTCTGCATTATTTCTCATTGGTGCAAAACTAATTGGCTTTTCCCAGTCATTGAACAAATATTTATTCTTCCATTTTATCAGCCTTATAATAGCAGCTGAAATTAGAAGAGGGCACAACCACCTGGCAAAATCTGGAGCGGGAAGTCTTGCATTTCCAAGCATCCTACCCGCATTGATTTTCTAGGCCTCAAGCACCATTGCTGATAAAGGTCCCTTACTCTCCACAATGCCACCCCAGTGATGGCACAACCTACCCATGCATGTCTCCATTCACAAGAACATGCGGTAATATATTCCCTTGAGCTGAAAAGAAATTCCTACAATATATGGGTTATTTAAGGCCCCAGAAGTAGGAATCAACATTGGTGGCAAGAACTCCTGGCTCCTCTGCTGACCGCATTAGAGTTGTGCAAACCTGGGCTGGCGTCTCTTTGTGTGCCATGAGTGGGGCTGATGAGTAGCCTAAGAGAGTGGAAAAGTTAAAAAGGAAAGAGCCAAAGCCCATAAGACCAAGTTAGCTTTCCCAATTTGGAGACTGGACTCAAAAACCTCAATAAATGCAGCAAAGAATTTTCTTAAACACCCACATTCCTTATCCTGATAAAAACCCTGGGTATATGCTGATATAAGTAGCTAGAGATCTCCTGGCTCCTTGAGATATTTCACTTTAATGCCAAATCCCATGGTCTATGGAAATCCAAAGTCTTCCTTGTATTTTAGCAACTTTCTTGGGGAACAGAAAGGGTGCAAGGAGCATAAGGGTGTCTGTCTCCGTGCTCTGCTTCTGTGCAACAACGTACTAAATCAGAAAAGAAACTCTCCTCTATTTTTTTCACAGAAGCAATGTGCACACAGTGCACGGATAAATGTAGCTGGTTCCCTGAGGACTGAGGGCAAGGGGGAAGGGAGAAGTCAGGTTGCAGCCAGGTGAAAAGTCTGAGCTGGAACCACAGGCAGCGCTCGGAAAAGATACTTCAGTCTCCTGCTGATAGGCGTACGGCCTCCCCCGGTCCTCCACTCGCCTGTCTCAGCCTGTCCACCTTCCTGGCTACTACCTCTTCATTCTTTTTTTAAATTATTTTTTCTTCTTCCCCTTGGAATCATAGCAAAATGTTTAACTTATCACACTCAGAGTAATACAGGGATAATCTTCCTTTCCCTGGTTAGTTAGCTCTCACCCCTCCCAGTAAGATATTTATCTTCCCAAATGAGAAGAGTTCTCTCACTGAAAAGAATTCCGATGCTAGAATTTTTGTATCTTGACCACCTTCCCCCTCATTTCATGAAATAGCGCTATATAGGCGGCAATACTTACTGTCATTCTCTGATTTTTAAATCTCTTCTCTTTCTGACACAGGGGAGGACTTCTCTGCCCCCTTGAGATTGGATATGGTCATGTTTCTAATTCTGTCCAAGGGGTTGAGGATGAAAGTGACATTAATTACTTTTTGGTTGAGGTATTTAAACGCCAATGTGAGATGCCCCAGTACTGATGTCACCCTGCTGTGGCTAGAAATTGAGCCTGCTTCAGCCTGGGTGCCTAAATGACAACAGTGAATGAACAAAGCCTCCCTACTGACCTGCCCTGGCCAGGGGAAACATCTTTATTGCTGTGAGCATCTGCGATCTGTGGCTTATTTGTTTTTGCAGCAGCATCTAACCTCTTCTGACTAATACAGTATTCTGATCACAAAGAGGTGGCACAACTTTCCTCTTCCTGTGACAAAAGATTGCATCCCCTTGGACTAGGTTTCACTGTCAGGGGAATGAGCACTTAGAACAGGTTCTACTCTCTGACAATGCTGTCTCTGAATCTCAAAGCCTGAAAAGGTACAATTTTTATAGAGTTTGCTCATGGGGATCAGTTGGTCCTTCTGCTCATCCACTCCCTCTCCCACCCTTGCCTCTGCTTTGAGCATTGCCTCTCAAGAGCCTATCAAGTGGAAACCAACCAGGCACTTGCTTCTCAAATGCAAACAGAAAGTTGAAAAATTGGGGGTTCTCCAGAGCAAGACAATACACAGTTGTACCCGCCAATAACCAATGCCAGTTCTTTGTTCAGTTTCTTCATCAGTAGTTCCCAGTGTTTTCAGTAGTCTTTCTGTGGCTTGTACCATCAGACCTGAAAATGAAATGAGACATCACAACAAGCAATTCTCTCGTATGTACCCTAAGAATGATGTGTGTTCTGAAATTAGAATGTGAAGATACTGCACAGCTACGTAAATGTACTAAAAACCCTTGAAGTGTACACATAAAACAAGTGAGTTTTATGGTAGGTAAATTATAGCTAAAAAAGTCTTTTACAAAGGACAAAGTGAAATATGTTATTGCTTTAAATAAAGCATAATTGTAAAAACCCAATATTGCTTTATGTTATGAAATTTTCATATTAGTTGGCACAAAAAGATACCATAAAGTTTCATTTCAGTATTTCAAGAAGTATGATCATGTCCCCAAGATATTAATGGCTAATAATGAAATTAGTTCAGGTTCCTAGTTAATATTGCATTTAAAGTTTCCATTGTGTTGTTTTAATATTGATTGATAGCCTATTGATGCAAATGTCATCATTATTCTGATTCTGACGTCTGTGTATCCACTGCATAAAATCAAGGAGATCACATTTCTAACACATGAAGGCCAAAAGACTAGACCTTTTAGTCTTTGTGTCATCTGAGGAAATGGGAACATTTATATGTCGGCATAGTCTGTCTACTGCCGTGTATTTAAACTTGGTCCCGGAAAAGGATGGTTAATTTCCCAGTGGCAGGGAGCAAATAGTGAAGGTAGAGGAGATGGATCCTGGCCTGAGGTATGCCTTCTAAGTTAAGACAGAAGATACAGAAATGTCCCATTAATTCACTCAACAAGTGTTGGTTGCATGCCTACTCTGTTCCAAGCAATGAGCTCAGTGCTAATGCTGCAGTGGTGAGCAAGTCCATAGGTCCCTCTCCTATGGGTGTATATTCTAATGGTAGAGAGGAATGCCTCGTACAATGTCAAAGACTGTGACAAACTTGGGCATGATTTGAGGAGCAATTGACTCAGGGGTTTCCATACATAGGAGCAGGGCCTCATAGAGGGGAATGGAGACTGAGGTCCTTCGTGGAGTAAAGGCAAAGTGTGGTCCTCAACAAGGACACCAAGGACACTACAAAGCTCTGTGATCCTCATTTGTCAGAAAAGAGACTTAGACTACAATGAGGCAGCTCAGAGGTCTTCAGCAGGACACCCAGAGCCCGAGTGTGGTTTAGAACCTAATACCAGGTCCTACTAAATGTGAATATGAGAATGCTTAAAATTGCTTGCTTCCACTATAGCTTCATCTGGGGCCCTCAGTGGATGTTAGCCCTCAGATGAAGAGTCTTTGTAGATGGTAAGCCCATCTGTTAGAAGCTGTGATGTGTACAGACAAGGACAAGCTGTATGGCAGTGGTTAAGGGTATGAGGACTGGGAGCGGAAAACCTCAGTTGGAATCCCAGTTCTGCTGTTTATGAGCTAGGTAGCTTTGGACAAGTGGTTTAATCAGTTTCCTTATATGTAAAAAGTCAATGATTATAAGAGCATCTAATTTATTGGGTTATTGTCATTATTAAATGAGATAATATATGAGCAGTGCTTAGAATATTGCCTAACCCCTCACAAACTCCCAAGATATATTACTGTTATTAAAGAATGCCAGGACCTCATCTTTGCAATTGCAAATAGGTTTTTAAATTTCATTTGCCCACATAAGATTCTACTATAAACTAGTTAGAGTGAGTCTACAGGCCATGCAAAAGCCAGTCTGTCACTGCCTCTAAGCCTTAGTTACTAATAAGTAATTGGCTTGAGTATAAACATCCAATAAAGCAGTTTCAAATCTAAGTAACCACTCCAATACCATGGTTCCCTTTTCAGTAAAAATGCACATACCATAGGCAATACTGTACATTTTCTATTAATATGCACTGTGCCTAGAGTTATGTACTAGAGTTTCTACCACCTCCCAATTCTCTAGGCCTCCTGAGAGCATTCTAAAGATGGGGTCTTACATGGTATTAGCCATGCAGAAAGAAACTTAGGCTTAATGACCACACTTGGGCCCAGATGATGTGATGTGGGAGTGGGGAGCCGAGGGGGTTGCAGTGTAGAGGAAGGAAGGATGGCTGAATGAGTGGTCAGGGTAAGGAGGTAGAATATTCTTAAGAGATTATATTCTTCACACAGTCCCCTTAGTTTCCTCTTCGACTGAAGCGGATGTAGCAAATAAGAGACAGTTCAGCAGCCAGAGCCCTGGCGTTGGCCAGGACTCTGCTTTCTCCTTTGAAAACTCATCTAAATTATGAAGATGGAGAAGAGGCGATGTGGAGAATTCTGACTCCCACGGAATTCTAGCCCAGATTAGGTCTCAAATGTTTCCCTAACACAACATGGATGAACTAAGGGTGTGGGAGACAGGAGCTCAAGTTTTGAATTGCTTTGTGAACATAGAGGAACTCTGAGGTTATTGTTCAGAAAATACCCTCAATGGCTAACCTCCCAGGTTAGCAGTGCCACATTCAGGTTTCTCTCAGACTGGAAGCAGAGCCTGCCTGGAATCCCATCCAGAACACTCTGACTAGTACAGGTAATCAAAACTTGGATCTGTCCTTTCCAAATTGGAATTTCTGTATTCCTTGGCATGGAAACCAAACAAAAGGGGGCTGCCATATTTGATTTCTGCCAACTCTGACTTCCCATGAACCTTAGGCCTGCCTCAAAAATTTGGAGGCATTTGCCTGATTTCCAATACCACATCTTCGAATTTCAACTTTAACTGAATTGTTTACAGTATTTTTGTTCTATAAATTCACCAGTAGTGTACCATCACCTAATAGCAATGCAAAGATGAGTGACTGAGATTGTTGTTAGGTAATAAAAGGCCAGGTTGATAAGTAGTTTCACACATCAAAAAAAAAAAGAAGAATATATCTTTCAAGTAAGGAGGCATACTGAGAGAAGGAACAAGATATAGAGAGAGACATTTACACTTGGGATGGCTGATCTTTTTAAATATATTTGTGCAAAAAATGAATAAAAGGGGCCAGCTGTAAAATATTACTCTAAATCTACATTAGCTTGGGCTGCTATAGACTTTCAAGTTCTGAAAATATGACTTATCTGGTCTGGCAATGCATTAAGAATGCTCTGTGATTTAAAAAAAAGAGCTATTGATCGTAGAAGATTTTAATTTAGATTAGTTCACTTAAAAGTGTAATAAATGGCAGGGCTCACATGTTGAATCACTAAGGCAGCAATTATTTTCAGAGCATCAGTCATCTGTGCTCCCAATTTAATCAAATCTCTTTATGGAGGTTTTAGACAGCATTTAAAATAACCATATAACCTGCCTGTGAAAAGGTGTTTTGAGTTGTATGTCAAAAGGTGAAGAGAAATTAGAAAGACAACTTATAGTTTTAAAAGATCAATGATGACAGATGGGTAGTTGCGTTTATTTTATTTGTGAGCAACTGTTGTTTTGTAAGGTTGGTGTATGTTTTTTTAAAGAGTGAGAAAGAGAAGGTATAGTATCTGAACTAGAAAAATAATCCAACTTGTTTCTGAGTTAGATTTGCAAAGGCTAAAAGTCTTTAAGAAGTCGGGATAAGAGCAATTACATACTCTTTGTGGCCTCTAAGAAATGAATTCTTGGTCATGTTCTGAAGGAAAAGGCAAATACAATAGAAAGAGAAAAGATGAGAAGGACCCAGCTGTTAACATTAACTTGCAGTTTTACCTTAGAAGCCAAATATTTAGCCTGAAAAGCTTTTTACCTCTGACCTTTAAGGTTTCACTGAAGATTTCATCATCCCTGAGACGCTAGTGGCTCCCGCTGAGATGATGACAGAGGGGCCTTCATCCCTGGAGCTGAGACCTTGAGCCCTCTCCTAATCCCATGCAGTTCTTATTCAGCCTTCTTTTCTGACATCTGTGCATAAAGCAACATAAAACATTACACTGTAAATGACATCTGAGAGATTCGTCTGAAATTCTATTTCACTGTTTAATATTTAAAAGTTTAAAACCTCTTTGTAGCTTTATAGCACTCTCTAACAAGAATAAATTTTATTGATAAGGCATCTTCCTTCCCCACACTGGAAGCCATTGGCAATTGCTGCAGAAGTGAGTTTAGTGATTAATAAGTCATGTCCTCTGGGATGTGACTCCATGATTGAGGCTCTTATTGAAGTATTATTACATATTTCAGAATTCCCAAATATCCACCCACTGACACGTGTTAGTACCTCCATTTTTTTGTTCCTAGAACTGAGGTCGGGCAATAACAGTACTTACGACGTAGGATTCTTGCAAGGATTAAATGAGTGAATGTGAGTCAAGTGCTCAGAACGGATGTCGGCATACAAAAAACTCTGCTTGTGTTATCTATTGTTATCGCTGTGACTTTTCTGAGTAATTCAGAAGAATCTTTTTTGCTTTACGTGGATGAGAAATCCTCAGAGAAGAGGCCCTCCTAAAAGAACAAAAAGCCATAGTAGCTACAAATTGCTTGTCATTACTTTTGGAGTCTTAGGCATTTCCGGAGCATAGCAATGTTAATTTTCAGGAGCCTAAACACCACCAACTAGTCAGGAAAGGGAGCAGTGATCTAAAATAGGGTCACAGGCAACACTTGTGGCTGGAGAAGCTTCAGGAGTTCTCTTGGCCTCCACCCTGACTCACACTCAAACTCACCGCCTCCAAGCACTTCCAGCGAAACCAGGGCCCCTGTTCAAATGCACATACATGGGGAATAAACATTTTCAGTCGCTCTCTTCTATAGATACTTGAGCGTCAACTTAACCACCAGGACTTTTCCAGCTTCACTGTCATAGCTACTTGAGAGGAGATTTTAATGGTGGCAAGAAGAAAAAAGCGACCTAGAGGACGGCCAGTTTGTGAAGTATCCTGGGAATAATGTAATTAATTCTAATTCTAAGCTTTTATGTAAAAATCGAGGCAGACTTGAAAGCAGTACCCATAATTATGCCACTTGAGCATTCTGGTATGTTCTTTGGGAGCGGAACAGAAGAGAGTGGGCTTATAGCTAGGACAGTCAGAATTGCCCATATTCTGCCCCGTATTGTATCTGAGCCATAGCTCTTGGCAGGGGGAGCTCTTCCCCCTCCATAAAAATCTCCACAGACCTTCTCCGTGCCACCCACGATAAAAGCAGACAACATAAAAGAGAATGTGCTTGCTCTGCAAATGCAGCTTCCGGAGAAGTCCTGACACCCCCCCACCCCCCCATCAGTTTACCCCCAAACTCCTG